TGGGGTACTCGGAGAAAACCCACGCATTCATGGAGAGAACATGCAAACTCCTCCCAGAAAAACCCACAGCTGAGATTAGATCCAGCACCGTTGTTGCTGAGAGGTGACAGCTCTATCCACCCTGACTCAATTCTTTATTTTATTTTGAATGTTTTCTACGTTTACGTCATTTCTCGGTTTTGCTGTTTTGTGCTCCATCAGTAAAAAGGCTCAACTCAACCGATGGAGTGCAAAGGTTGAAAACAGAAGCTTGTTTTAACATTTAAAAATATGATTTTCTTTATCCAGATAAAGAGCTGGGCCATCAAAATTCAGATAGTTTGTGTTCAGCATGATAAAGAGCTCTAACTCAGCCACCGTTTGCCATTTTTGTTTATGTATGGCAGTGCAGTGTTATCTACTTTGATGTAAAGCAAACTATGTTTTGCTAGGGCTGAGCTCACGCTCATTCTATATTCATAAAGGTGGAAGAGTCAAGTCAGTGCAGCTTGTAACATCGCAGGGTGTTAATGACACCTCAGTGCTGGATTCTGGGTCAGGATGGGGTCAGTTCCTGGGGTAAGCAGGGAACATAATGAGAGATGGAGAGGCTGGAAGAAACCTTGAGCGTTCTGACTCTGATGCTGATCACATGTGAAATGTTATCTCTTCACATTAGCCTGCTGGGGTTATCCTTTCTGGCACCAGGCACAGGTAGTCCTCAGTCAGCTGAGTTATCAAAACGCACAAAGGTTGACAGCTGAGCTGATAGAATACAGGTAAGGGCTCAAGAACTCCTGGAAATCGTACATGTTTCTCTGGAAAATACTGCTCTCCCTTTCTATACACAGTTCAGTGTATTCACTGTCACAGCCGATTGATAGTCGTGGCGGTGTCTGGAGAGTCTGAGCAGATTGCCGTAGTAACCGCATCTGTCATAACGGCAAAACACAACGAGTTTATCAGGTGGACATAGACTGGAGACGAAGGACTTCACGTCTTTGTTCCACTAACAAGACCCAGAGGCACAGCCTAATGGAGGTGACGTCAATATGAAGAGGGAGGAGGGCCATTAAAAAGAGCATTAGAGCAACAAAAGTGGCCACTTGTGCATCTGTTTCAATCTGTTTAGGTCATGCGGTTGATTGATATGCAAAAGTGGAATTTTGCATGAATGCTCAATGCAAATACAAAGTATTCCTCCACAATCAAGGTTTTCCGTGTAAGGTTTTTCAGTTAAAGCGACAGAACATGGAGAGAGGTGGAGCAGATCGTATGTGTGTATGTTTGACAGGTGTCTGTGGGCTGAAAGAGGATCCACACAAGTATGAATAATAAAACAGACCCTGAGCATTTCAGCCATATGCTCTCTCACACACACATGCAAACTCAAACAAATAAGGATAATAATTTTTCCTGTCAGCTGGTAGATTAAAAACAAAACTTTAGTCTGCTTCTGGGGAATGTGTGAAGAGAGTGAAATTGCAGCAGTAGAATATAAATTTGTACAAATTGAGAAGAAAAAGTGAAACGGCTCTCAAAGCGTTTTGGATTTCAGTGCATGCGTTGTTGTGTGTTGTTAGCACATTTCGCTTGTATGGAGGAGTTCAGAAGGTTTTGCTTTGGAAGTGAAGACAGATAATGAATTCCGCTTACCCAGCATCCCCAGCTGCTTAGCGACCTCACCTCCCAATCACTTTCAACAGGCACCTTTTATTTATAGAGTCATTATTTTTAGCCCTCTGTCATTTCAGCCTCCTGCCTCTTGAAGAATTAACAGACTGAACCATGAAGCAATGCAAAAAAAATATTTGGAGGAAAGTGATCAAAAGAGTTTAGTTAATTAAAATAACTTTTGTTGTAAGATTTCATTAAATATTAGCATGTTTTTTCTTTTTTTATATATTGAACTCTTACTGGGTAAGACCTCTGAGTAAAACTCATGGATACATTTTAAATTGTGATCGGTTACAGGATGTGAATGTGGCTGGCAAAAGTTCAAGTACACTTGGTCAAATAATATCAATACAGTGATTAGTTGAATAAGTAAAGTTTAAAATTATTTAAACAATACCTAGTTTTAAAGATGAATAATTACTGTATGTTTCGCTGAATAAGTCTTACCTTTTTGCATAAAGTTGCAAGTCCTGCGACTTATATACCAAAGCGACTAATATATGTTTTTTTCCCATATTTATAACACAATTTTTGACTGAGATCTGACGATTTAATTCATTCTGACATAGAAAATATTGAACACTACCATTTTCAGCCACTAGAGGGCCCTCGACTAATATGGCAAGCCAAGTGACATTAATAGGTAAAAGTGGCTGTTAATGAGACAATTGGCTTGCCATACCAAGCCACCTTCATCCCGCTCCGGAACTCATGGAGCAAACGTCAAATCAGCTGCATTTTGCCGCGTCGCCAAGGTGAAATTCAGCTGATTTGACCATTAAAGTGCATTTATTAAGTAAAAGTTAAACTGAGACACACCTTTACTATAATGTTGAGCAAACAAATAATTGTTTTTAAGTGTTAATCTTGTTAAATTCTTGTTAGTCTTCCCATGCACGCTCCCGCGGCCTCCATTTGACAGCCAATTGATTTTTGGCACAACACCGGCCCACATTTCTGGGTTTTCAGCGGTGACGCATAATAGATGCGACTTATGCGACAAAGCCATTTATTTGTTTTTTTTCCACTTTATTGGATATTTGGACTGATGCGACTTCTACGGTGGTGCGACTTGTATGGCGGAAAGTACGGTAATTTATTATTCTACCTGCATCTTAGGTTTGTTTTTGTTTTTTTACTTTGTAATAAACAGAACAGCAAGATACAAATTCAGCTAAAGAAGAAAAATATATATAGTAGAATCTGAAAAGATTCAGAAAAAGAATAACTTCTTTATAGTCTGCTTACATATTTTAGAATATCTAGGTATCCTATCATAATAATTTATTACAAACAATTGTGGGGAAAAAATCTGAAAATAAATTTAGTCCACTGATGGTGGGTAGGTTTGAGATGAAGAAAGGTGTTGAATTTTCTGCACCAGTGTGCATCAGAATTTCTACATATACAAAAGTGGATAGTGCTTTTGGCTCTTTTTTTGCAACTAAATGTTTTGGACGTATAGAAGGAAAAATCTAGTCAATAACAAAAGTCGAAGCTAAAGAAAAACAAGTCTTTAGCTACAAGGTTATGATCCTAAGCATGCCTTAAAATCTTCAAGAGGTGCAAGCTAAAGATTTTTTAAGTGTTCTGTTGGAACAAAACTGAACATAAATTCACAAATTTATACTATAAATTAACTGCCATAAAAATCATGGGAATAACATTTTAACATCGATATTGGGATGTTGTTAGCTGCTGATTCTCTGCTGAAATGTTATTTTGTTTTATAATGTTCAACTAAAGAAATCTTTCAATTTTAATATTTTCACCTTTTGATAATAATCAAATTCAGCTTCCTTATTTAAATACTTAAGAATACTAAATTTTTTTACTAAAACTTGTAACAATGTCCACTTACTATTTTTCAACTATTTCTGTGTAATAAATAAAGTTGCTCTTCAATCTGAATGTTAGGTTCAACAGAAAACCGAAAATTACTCATTGTGTCTTTGATTGGTGCCAAAAATCACTGCACTGTTTAGTTCTGGCTGTTTGATTCCAGAGTCAGAAAATCCTCGATCTGGGGGTAAACAAACAAAAGACTCCCACTACACAGATGGGGGGGAAGAGACACATTGCTCAGTAGAACCTCCTCACTGAGAAACAAAGATGCATATGCGAGAGGAAGGTTTTAACTGAAGCCTAAATGGATGCAGAGTAACTCGCTGAGAGACAATCAAGTGAAACAAGAGAGGGAGTGCTGCAGCATGTTCATGTATTCAGTTCTGAAAGCCTCTGAGTGTCGCCGCTGCACAAATCAGGTCTTTGCAATCAAATCTTCATTGAGGCAACTATGTGAAATTGTTATGTAACTGGTGCATGGCTGAGAGGGAGACTTGGATCTGCAGAAATGATGTGTGCATCTCTGTGTTTGGGCTCCTGTTATTTTTTTTTAACTCTTCTAACAAACTGTTAGACCCCAGCTCCCAGGCAGAACCAGAAGAAAAGAGCAGACAGCATCTTGTTGACCATCTGTTCCTCTGGATGCTGGTCAATCTGAACTAGACCCTTCTGGATGTCTCACACATACTGTAGATAAACAATCCCATTTTTTTCCTGTTGGTTTTCCCATATACTACGTTTCATCATGCTTCCAGCACTGGACTTTTGTGCAGAGGATTTGTGGTTTCATGGAAGGGAAGGAGAGAGGAAAAAAAACAATGGTGGGGAAGAGAGGGGATAATGTAGATGAGGGACACTTTGGTGGGCCTGCATCGATTCATACCCACCAGCAGCGCACCGAGAAGCTGCTTTCATAATCCTCCTTCGTAAATAATTCAGCAGTCCCCCTCAAAATTTCATCAGCACCTACATGTAGAGAACAATCTCCCCCTCAGCAGCTGCAGCATTGTGAGAAAAGTGTGAGCTCAGAGAAGGGGGGGGGGGGGGGATGATGAGGCAGCAGATGAGTGAGCAGGTGGAGCATAGCTGGTTTATAAAGCCCTTGTGTGAACCAGGAATCAGCAGTTTGTGGCCAGCTCAAGCTTCTCTGCATCTCAGACAAGACAGTTATTTTACCTGAATCTTGACTGTGACGTGTATCTGTATAAAATCTATTTTATTCTGTTCTTATAGTCTTCTAAATTAGACATTTACTGATTTTTATCTGCCAGCTGAAGAAGAAAAGACAATACTGTAATGCTTTTGCTTGTGTGTGTGTGTGTGTGGGGGGGGGGGGG